TAGATCGCTGCTGTATTGCTGTTACAAAAACTGGGGCTGTTTGGCTTAGGGGGGGGGCATTCCGCGCTTTCGCTAGTTCCCTTTGCCACTTCCTGTTAAATACACATCTTACTTTGGTAAGACCTATAGACTTTCGTGAAGTTTAAAGAGAGGTCTTTTTGTTGCACATGTTCAAGGAACTCACAGGTTTCCGCAAGAAGCATCGACACTGATTCGTGGGACTAAAAAAAATGCCCCCCCCCCACCAGGGAAACTGCGCCCAAATTTTCATTGCGCGGAAATGTAGATTAAACATGGAATCAAGTGTTTCTGCTTGTCTCTATATTGGTCACGTGCGTGGCGCAATCTCAGAGGACTCTGTTCGTAACTGTTTCGGAAGATTTCTTTTACGTTTGTGTTTTGTGAGCTAGTGTGATCTTTCCCAAAACAAGCACTCTTCTGCGAAACGCCATCCGTACCACCTCTGCACACACTAGACCTCATTTCAAGTCCCACCCCAGACTGCCACGCCCCCTTCCGTGAACATGATTTAAGCACATTTCACCTCACATCTTATTCCCCGATATCGCCTTTCTGACTCTTGTCTAACATCATGCTTGATCTCCGTGAGCTATCTTCTCCATTTTTTATGTCCCACATTCTTCCATAGCGTAATGTTTTGGCTTCTAATTCGAGACGAAGCAAGATGTTTTCTTTGGACGAATCTGATTCAGCCTCATTGTCGCTCATCTCTTCGTCGGCACTTAGAAAACATTTGCCAGCATGTCGGCGGCGAAACTCTTGAAAGGCAAAAACTTCTGCTCCGTTGTTCGTCCTCTATTTATTGCACTCTAACTCGATTTATCACGTGGATTAGCAAACGCTTCATAACTCGCGCTTTTGAGCATCTTTTCTTGTCTTCCTATTTGAGAATATTCTTCTTTTTGTAGTCTGAGGGACAGGAGCCGGAAGAAGGGCATGTCATAGTGGAATTCTCTGCTGGGGAGGGGTTTCACTTCTCAGAAAGAGTCATAATAATATGCTGGGAATTTTTCTGCTGTTTATTTGTTCCGTTTGAGGTGCGCTGCATATATAATGTTCTTATTCTGTTATATTCGAGATCGAATGTCTGTTTTCCACCATCTCCTTGACACCTGTGGGAGTGCGGAGAGATGATGCTTGAATGATACCACTGTTGGGTGGAGGTGGGAGGGGACTAGTGGGGGTGGGGACTGCAGAAAATGACTGTTTGGCGCGGTTTGGCTTGGTAGGGGCATTTCGGCGGCTCCCTCTGGTCCCCATCGACCCTTGCCCATACCGTTTTGAGGACCTGTGAATCCCTGTAAAAGCTTCGGCATAACAGGAGCTTAGTTCCGCTTGATAAGCACCCCACCCCGTCTACGTCTAACCAAGATGAAACGAAGAAGGGAAGAGTGAAACGTGTAAGTTGACACAAACCTGTAAAACAATATAGCGAATGTGCAAGATGCCCTTCCCATGCCGAAGATCGTCTGACGCCTCTACTGTACGTATGCACACGTGGATGACATCACGAGTCTCCAGTTGCATCAAGCCAGACAAAACCTTTCTCTCGTTTGAAATCTGGTAAGATGTCCCATATGAGTGGCATCATATCACTAGTTCGCATCACTGACCATTTCTTCTACTGTTTGTATCATCGCTGAATAGGCCAAATCGCCCAGATACTAATTCGATTTCGAGAACAACGCGAATGCATTAGCGTCCATCCTGAATGTTTTGGGGGGACGTGCACATTCTTCTTTTTCCGTGTCTTGAATAATCCATTCGTTATGTTGCTTCGGCCTTTCTGCAGAATTTAGTGCCAGTTTCTCCTGCCGACAAGAATTTGAACTTTGCAGGGCTTCCTTTTCTAACTATCAGAACACATTCGTTTAATGAGAAGTGCTGACCAATACCCACACACCTACCAAACCAAACGTTTCCACTGGTATATCCGTCCAAAAGTAAGTTTCTCTACACTTTAATTTTTCATTTTTCGCACCGCTACAGTATCGATTATTTGAAGGATCGTGACTTGTGTGACGAGAAAATGCATCCCTCTACTTCACAGGACCTCAGCGAACAGTGTTCGTCCCGCAGCAATAGGGTGAGTTTTCGGTGTAATAAGATAGTCTAAGGCTGCGTTAGTTTGGACTTTTCTCCTCTTCAAAGTTCCCTAGTAGTTTCAAAATTTCTTGAGAAAAGTCAAGCCGCAGATGAAATAAGTTATGACAAACGGAACATTTGAAAGCAGTGTAGCAAAACTCTTTTCTGCCAAGTTGCAATTTTTGATCAAACGGATGCATTAAAATAGGCAAAAGGGCTGTAATGCTTATGAGCATCCAGTTAAGGGAATTATGCTGCCCGGCAATTTGCTCGTCTCCTGACTGCGACATTTGCACCTGGACCTAATTGATTTAACGCGCATGTGCTGCAGAATGACGAATCATACAGTCTTTTTCGTTGGGGATGATGGGGCGTGTCACTGTGGCTGGGTTTGGCGCGCTGCCACTCCTGTTCTCCAAGAGCTGTCGAAGAGGTAAGCCAACATTTATCGGTGGACAAAGGTGCACGATATGATGCAGTCTTGGTATTTCCAAAAGGCCGAAAGGAAAAGAGTGGAAAGAAAATGCGCTACCGCCCCGAGGAAACCCATCTTCGTGATATGCCCCCATCATTCCGCGGCAAACAAGAGCCCGCACGGCAGCTTGAATCTCCCACACTACGTCAACTGGGAGATCACCCAGCGAACAGTTATTCAGCACGTTATTTTCGGGCCACCATAATCTCACTTGGAAATGCACACGCTGGGACGTGCTAGGGGAGCTGAGTTTGGCTCGGAGCTAGCCCGCTTTTGCACAGGAATCAAGTTCATGTGCTGATTCACAAAACCAATGTCTAACTTTGGAGTTTCAGTCGGATTCTACAGCTGATTATCGTTTCTGCCATGGTGGCGTATCTGCCAAATATCTCTCGAACATGATAATCATCGCGTTGATACAGGAGATTAGTGTTGGTTAGTAGGTTTATGTACTTGCTCTAACTATTCCATATTTTTCTTCATATATTTTACATTCAACTGGATTTCCGCTTATCTGAGACTGGACGCAGTTCGCTTTAGTGGGGGCATTTTGCACCTTTGCTAATTCCTTTGTTGGTTCGTTTCAAGTAACATGTCTCATTTTAGTCGAACTTGTGAACTCTTCAGATGCTAAAATATTTTTCTAGTGAACCACTTCGGTCACAGGAATTAACAGGTCTTCACAAGGTGACCAGACTGAGCTTCATTGTGTACCCTCTGATGCTCCCACCAAGCCGCCCAAAATTGTTCATTTTGCCCATTTTTAACGCCTATATTTCTCTTCACGAGTTCTAACTTCAAGGATCTGAGCCTCTGGATGTAACCCTTCTTCCTTGAAATAATCCACTGTTTTTTTAAGTTCATTGTATTGATTTCTGTACAATAGTCTGTTTTTCAGGTCTGATCCTGGCCACTGCTGATCCTGAATGGTTTCGTGAGCCACGGTTTATCATTCTGACTGCTTGTCGTATAGTTCAACTCGTGCCATGTTTTCTGGCCTTAGCCGGTAACTATACGAACAATGCGACGCTTCTCGTGCCGTTTATGCTCTCACAGGTGAATTCAGCTCTGCTTTTAATCTCGTTGTTGTACTCTTTTAAGCTGAGGTTTGGGGTTCAAGGTAGTCAAAAATTCCGGGGTGGCCAAGAGTTGCAATTTCACTGAGGCCGATCACGCCCAGGGCAATGCGCGAAATTTTTGCAGATTCCGGTAAATATGGGACTTTCTTTGCTTGTGAAAAGTGCAAAATGCAAGGAAAAAAAGCAGAGGCGCCGGAGGCGCGGGAATAGTCCTGGCTCCATACGATACAGTCAGCGTGAGCTGCATCTTCAATGTATAGCTTCTTTTATGCATAAACAGCGGACATGCGCGCGGCCCGGCGGTGAAATCCTGAATCGCTCCCACTCAGGCTAACCAAGCCTCTTCCTAGCCGGGAAACACCGACATCTGTTCGTTCTGTTCCGAATGTGGAGTGTGGGGAAAAGAGTACAAGCTCTTTAACTTTTGTTTGACGCTGATAAGCTTGGGGGGCAGACCTGTAAGCACTTGTCAGCTTACCGAATCCTGTGATCTGTAAACATGTAAATACTGGACACCTTGTCATCATCCTATAAACCCTGTTATTACGTGTCAAGACCCTGAAACTCGTGTATAATTTGTCAAGACGTTCAATAGCCTCGATATATCAGACATATTGCACGGCATAGCTTCTAGGGATCAGCAGGAGTTTACAGGATACTTGACAGGGATTTACAGGACCTGCAGGGTTAGACACATTTGTCCTGTATTCACATGTATGCAGTTCACATGACTTGACAAAGCTTGTATGCCAGGCGCTGCTGTTGGGTTAACCCCTCCTCCCCGTCAAGGTTAATAGCACCCTCTTTTTCGGACCCCAAGGCTCATTCCACCCTCGTCGTATGGGCGGAGCAAGGCTCTCTGATATGTTTTACTTATTGTTGAACCCTCTCATCAGAGATGGTCGAGAGGAGGAGCGCCACTACAGTCCACATCTTGGAGATGGAGAGGGCGTGGGCGTACCTCATTTGAACAAATGAAATATAATCCTGCTCTGTAGTGAATTAAAACGTGATTACTCTTGTGCTGAAACGGCATAATTCCACCTGAAGCCGCTACGTAAGGTACGCAGCCACACCCATTCCATCTCCGGGATATGTAGTGTGTTAACTGTCTCCGCCCACTTGGTGGGCTGTGTTTTCTACAATGAACAACTCGTTGACCCTATTCTCTAACTGTAGGCGTTTTTTATGAAAGTTCTACCGTAACCGGATTCTTTCAGATATCTCTCGGGAGCTATGCAGATTTAACAACGTACATGCTGCTGGTCCAGAATTTCCAAGCGAATCATCCTGATTTTTGGCTCTTTTCCACTCCACTACTTTACGTGGTCCTGCCAATATTGCTCTACGCCGCTCTTCTGATGCTTTGCATCTACATCACCAATAAATCGATAAAATTCGTCAATTTGAAACGGCTTGGAGCACTTAGTAAAAACACTGCTGACACTCAAATCGAGTCGTTGATGTAAAGCGAATCGGATCGATTCTGATCGATCGTTCGATCGATATATCGAATCGACCAGTCGCTGCACTGCTCGGTTTCAGTTTCGTAGCACATATCAACGAGTATAATATGCACATTATTTGTATCGATTATTGATGGTAATTCTTGATTTTTAGTTGATTAGTGCTGATAACTTTACCATTTAACCTTCATTTACTTTTCCTGAGCTTAACAATTAACAGCATATGGGATCTCCCGCATCGACCGTCTCTTTACTGATATATTCCGGGTGATTTGATTTCCATTGTGGTTGTCGTGACTTTGTAATTATTATGAATCGATCGTCTATTCTTATTTGAAACATTGATTTATTGATGTGACGGGCATTGTAAATATACCGAACTACAGCTAGTCATTAGTAAAGTATTATTTACAAGGGCTCTGCGTATCTTGTGTATAATGGAGGTAAAAAGCCAAGACTGAAACCTGCGGCGTGCGACGCGCGCGGTCGCGACGCGGTCAGGCACAAAGTTGGAATGAGGCTTTGCCCACGTGAAATCGAGTATTCATATGAAAAATACATAGTTATGACTAACGAAATTCAGGAGCGAGATTAGTGGAACAAAACGGAAAATTGCTTTTTAGTCATAGATGACTTTCATAGTGATGAAGCTCTTCGCTTTCGGAATGTTGACGAGATCACCGTTACAACTGCAATGGAAGCGGTCCAAGAAATTCCACTGCGATCCTGAATAGGAGTTGTATCGATATCATTTTATAGGTGTCTGAAGAAATTGAACGCGTGCGGTTGCGATGGCCTCCTGAAGAAAGCTAGAAGGAGAGGCAGAGAGGTGATCCATGTCCCAGAGTTTCCTCGGGGAAAGTCTTGCTGACGCATTTTCCTAATTTTTCAGAGCGCATCTCCCCTTCCTGATCACCACATCTAATCTCTTTCTCGAATGCTCGAGAATTTTCCTCATTAATGTGAAAATATTAGGTTGGAAGGAAAGTCCTGTCAGTGTTTTTTGAAAAGCTTACAGTTTTTGATTCTTGATGCTCGAACATGACGTAACATGCTATGCTTGTAGAACATTCTAGGAGCTTTCCTGCAAGAGTTGTGTGAGGGCGCCTGCACTTTCGTGGGTCAGTTTCCCAGGAGCATCTTCATGCCATCATCTTCTATCGGTGGCCCCGCAGCTCTGGAGCCACGGCAGCTATTCGCAACATCAACAGTGCATTGGTGGAGGACTCTACTATCATTCAAGGCACCGATCGTTCATCTTGTTCGCTCGCTCCGCACAAGGGGAAATCGATCCTCGAAGACAAAGTGTTGGGTTGGGACGGTCCCACGGAAGTGGAAGATTCCACAGTTCTGAAGGCACCATGTAAGAGGGTCGCAGAGGCCCACGCCACTTCGCAAGTTTTCGCGACAAGACTCGGATGTAGCCTAACTGAACAGTCGTCATCCCGCCTGTAACAGCCCCCCTTGACTACGCGGAGAAGTATGGCTCGAGCGGATCACTCATGCCTGACTGCAGCTGTGCACTCTGGTGACCCCTTGGCATCCCCTACAGACTCCACCCTCCGTCCAAAAGTAGTAGTTTCTACAGAAGATTGCTCAGTGGAGGTGGAGGTGATCCTCGCGACTTTTAATTCCACACAGTGCCGTGTGCCTCCAACTAGAAGACCCTTTCTAACAGTTTCAAACATAGCATGTATTCCGAATAGGTTCCTCTCTGTGCTGGGCTCCTGAGACCCGAGGGGGATTGCCTGACAGAACATGCAGGCCGTGTAAAGACGGACAGTCGCCGCGTATATTGTATTGCTCAGCTCCTGCCACGGTGGAAATTGTTGGAGAAAAATGACCGAGACTAGCTTCGGGGCACCTCGTTCGTAGTACGCGAGACCCCATACCTACTATGTAGACCTACCAAATATTTGAGGAGCAAGGCTGGGAGACCAGTTTCCGCTTATCACATTCTCCTGACGTAGTCCCTACCTCCTCCGCCTCCTTAAGGCTTTCTTAGCTAAGAAAACTTTCAGCAACTTTGATGACATCAGTCGAGAGGCTGCCGACTTACTCTACTCGCAGCCTCCTCAGTTCTGGGAGAGGGGGAATGGTTACCTGCCCATTAGGTGGAGCACTGTAGTGGCTAACTATGACGAGTATATTGTTGACTAATTCCCACTGTATGTTGAGTTAGAAAATAAAAAAGAAAAAAGTCACAACAGTGACAAGACTTTCCTTCCAACCTATATTTGTCAGGAACACGTGGGGTTCCCTCAACTTGGATGTTTAAACTCTTCAGAAGTGTAGTGGCAAGCGGCGAGTCTACGCGTGCGACCAGGTATCAAATTTCGCCTAGGCCAACTAATTAGACCTACAAAAAAGCATCGAAAATTAGACTAAGTTCTGCCATTTTAATAAAAACCTGCGCTTATGAAGTCATAATTTCTTGTAAGTCTTTTACTCTTCAGGATGGTGGCTTTTCACCAAATTTCTGGTAGGATATGATCCATTAACTAGTACATCGCTTGGTCTCCAGGAGGTTAAACAGCGGTCAAGGGCTCTTCCTTTCATACTTGTTACGAGATTGAGTGAGAAAAAGGCAGTGGCAGTCGGCTCTACGGGTTCCTAGTTCCTACAATATACCGAACTACAGCTAGTCATTAGTGTACGGTGTACGACCCGTAACTCAAACTCTGATCTAACTCCACCTCAATTTCAGCTTATGTGGTGGATCTATTTGAAGTGGTTACATTGGCTGGTTCTTGCATAAACTGTTCATTCCAAATAAATATTCAAATGCCATCACGATTCCAGTCGGGAATGGAATGCGTGGCTCATTGCAAGAAGCCCCCGGCTG